ATGACGTCACGCTAGTTAGATACTATGGATTAATAAATATATTGTAGAATACATGGAAAACAATTATTCCTCGTATTTTTGGTTTGTATTTTAAAAATGATATAAATTCCATGAAATATACATAATATACAGTTAATAAATATAATATATATACCTATTTATAGTAATAAATACTTTTAAAATAAACTATGAACCATACAAATGCAGCAAATGTTTTACAATATACAAATATGTGGCCATCTTTTGACAAGTTTATATTAATTTATTAATTGCAGTAAACATTATGTAGTGTTAGGTTAGGTTGTGAATATTTTATATGTAATTTTTGGATTATATTCGACACTATTTTTGTTCATATGACACAACACTGATGAAAGCTATAATGTTAGCCGAAACGTTTTTTTTAAACCAAAAAAAATAATGAAAAACCAAATGAAAACTTAATCAGCGTTTTTCCCGAACGTAAATCCCAAGAAAATCAAAAATTTTAGAATAATTTTACATATAAAATGACAGAGATCTTTATTTCATGGCCATCGCTGACGCCTTTTTTTCTATAATATTGTATTATTTGCAAATATAATTTTTCGAACATTGATACTTGATAAATATACATATAAATTCTGTGAATGCAAATAATAATACATTACTATTAGTAGATATTGAATATTTTTTGTTAAATTAGATCGATTTTCAAACCCCAAAATTTAAAATATATTTTATATTTTACCCATTATCTTATGTACCTATTCACTATTTGTATATTGTAAAACATTTGCTGCATTTGTATGGTTCATAGTTTGTTTGCCAAAGTATTTATTACTATAAATATGTATATATATATATATATATATATATATATATATATATATATATATATATATATATATATATATATATATATATATATATATATATATATATATATATATATATATATATATATATATATATATATATATATATATATATATATATATATATATATATATATATATTCTATTTATTAACTGTATATTATGTATATTTCATGTAAACTATATCAATTTTTAAAATACGAACCAAAAATACGAGGAATAATTATGTTTTCCATGCATTCTACAACATATTTATTAATCCGTAGTATCTAACTAGCGTGACGTCTTAAATCTCGCTCCGTGGCTGTTCTATTAGAGAAGGCATTGCGTCAGCATGGCCGCAAGTTGCTAACCTAACAAAATTAACACTAGAAAATCCCGCGGGAACTGTCAAATTCAAAGTTATTCGTTTCATAGACTATACCAGTGTCACTGTACCATAAAGTGAAGACACGTGGCTATCTATTTCAAAAATTAAATTGTTCGAATGTCATATAATAATGGCCGCAGCTGTCATGCAACTGAGCGATTAAAAAATTATCGTAAATCATTTTTTTCAAATGGAAAACCACTTTTTTATTTCACTAGTGAAAAGGCAATTTTTGAATTCGTTAGTTTTTGACTATACATGTTCCTATACCTAAAATAAATCGTTTTTAAGTTATTTAAAATTTAGTTTTAAAGCGTATATTTTTCTTGATTTTAACAAGTAGCCTATGATTTTAAACGTCAAGTGATGTAGTAAGCCAGATCTATTGTTTTAACAATAGATCTGGCCATGTTATATTGTGACACTTTGTTCAAAAAGCAGTATGTTATCGATCATCATACGGTATATTATTAATAATTAATAATATCAACTATTAGATATCACTAAAGAGTGAAAATACGAGATATATTTTTATAAATACACTTTTTAAACTTTTAAGCAGGCAGTATTTATAATATAGGAAATTTAAATAATTCGTTTTTTGACAGATGGAAATAAATTGTCTGACCGTTTGACACTTAATGTCAAAGGAAGCTAGATAAAATCAAGAAAAATTTACGTTTTCAAACTTAATCTTAAATAAATTAAAAACGATTTATTTTAGGTATAGGAACATGTACAGTTAAAAAGTAACGAATTAAAAAACCTTTTCACTAGTGAAATAAAAAAGTGGGTTTCCATTTGAAAAAAATGATTTATGATAATTTTTTAATCGTTCAATTCCATGACAGCTACCGCCATTATAATATAACAGTTGAACATTTTAATTTTTGAAATAGATAGTTACATGTCTTCTCTTTATGTCACAGTTCACAGTAGCTGTGGCAGTCACTAAATTTGACATTTAGGCTATACACATTTTTTTGAAAGGCAGTTTTTTTTCTCGAAAAATTTTAAACGTTTAGAAAATTTTTCTCGAAAACGGTTAATGTTACGGTATAGAGTGTTTGATATCAAAATTGATAAAATTTTACAGAGAATTTAAGTATGTAATAAAATATGGGGTCCCTATTTAAAATAATAATACCTAATAAGAAGAAGAAGTTGCCGTCAAATTCCGGTATTTCCGGAAGTGCCGCCATATTGAAAATATTTTTAATCGATAGATCTCATTGTGAAACAATGATGTACAAAAAATCTCCGATCTAGATCTTGTAGTTCTCTAGAAACTTCTAATGCACGCTCACTCTGGGACACCCTGTATGTCAACTTTTGACATTTTCGCTAAAAAGAAACTCGCATTTTAAATTTCAATCCAGTGCCATAACTGCGTTAAAAACACTAATTTTTAATCAAAATTCTTATCATATTCCAAATCTTATTTTTTTATCTAAAAAAAAAATAAAAAAAAGTTATAGGTTTCGAGACCCACCCGGTATATCTTCTTACTAGGCTGCTTTTTTCCCAGTTTGGCGGCTTTTAAAGATGCTTACACTTACTCTGAACCGAATGCACTGAATATTTAATTATAACAAGAAAATTGACTTACCTGCTTCTATTTTCTGAGCCTTAATATACATTTTCCATTGCTATACAGGGTTGTTCACCACATACGACACGGAGTATTGTAGCTAAACGATGAGATTTTTACAAATTGTAAGTTTTGGGTTCGATGAAGGACTATTAGAGGTACAATTTAAAAATAATTTTACAAGATACAGAGTGTCCCAAATAAGTAAAAAATATCAAAGTTATATTGTTTTAAATAGAACACCCTGTATATTATTACATTTTTAGTTTCTACGATTGATAGCGATGGCGGACGACGTGCACGTATGTGTCCGTTGCTCGGATAATTTTATAGTGAATCAAAAGTTTTTAAAATGTGAAATTGCATTAAAAAATTTTAAGGCTTCATTTCTCCAAGGGTATCAAAGTTTTTAATACTAAATATTTACTGAAGTTTATTTACTGATCAGTTATTGTGTTGCAATAAAAAATAATACTACCTTATACAGAGTGTCTAAAAATTTATTTTAAATAATTATTAGCTTCAAACGGCAATAACTTGTTTAATTTAAATGGAACACCCTGTATATTTTACGAGAATCAGATGCACAATTTAATTGTCTATCAAATTATATCATACCATTTTTTACCTATCTCTTTAAGTTTCCGTAGAAAATGTATTTTCTTGTAATTTAGAACTTATTTATCAATATACCCATGGACTATTGACATTTTAGATTATTTTTAAAGATGTACCAAATTTTTAAAGAGTACAGATACTAATATTGTCGATATAATTCGTTTATTTCATTAAAAAATAAAAAACACTGTTTAAATATTTGTTAAAGAGGACCAATTAATATGATTCCAGTATTCAAACTACATTAAACTGTTATTACATTATTGTTAACATTAAAAAAAATTATGTTAAACATTAAACTACATTACTGACTGTTTGCGTTGATTAATAATAATTGCTCCAAATACTAAAAAATTGAATTTTGTATGGGCATTAGACAGTGTGATAAAAAGTAACACCTTAAAAATGATATTTCATTTTTTAATAAATGCTTATTTATAACAACAGAGACTTTAATTTGATAACTTATTATTATATTGATTTCTGACTCAAATCCATATTTATTTATAATAATTTATTAACGAACACAATTAAGTATGTAATTAATTAGTATATGGGCGCAAATAATGGTGTTATATTTAATTAATGGTATACTCTTTTATAAAGATTTAAATAGTTTTCTTTTTGCATACAAATGGGCTAGTAATATTATCGTTTTGCTAAAAACGATAATATTACTAGTCTGTACATTTTGTACATTTGTTGCTTTAAAAACAATCTAAAATGTCAATATTCCATGGATATATTGATAAATGAGGTCTAAATTATAAGAAAATGCATTTTCTACGAAAACTTGAAGGGATAGGTAAAAAATGGTATAATACAATTTGATAGACAATTTAATTGTGCATCTGATTCTCCTAAAGTATACAGGGCATTCCATTTAAATTAAAGAAGTTATTGCCGGTTGAAGCTAATAATTATTTAAAATAAATTTTTAGACACTCTGTATAAGGTAGTATTATTTTTATTATTGCAACACAATAACTGATCAATAAATAAACTTCATTAAATATTTAGTATTAAAAACATTGATACCCTTGGAGAAATGAAGCTTTAAAATTTTTACTGCAATTTCACAAAATTGAAAATATTTCAAAAACGGTAATGTTTAAGTATAATAAACCTTAATCAAATTTACCTTTATTTTAATCGTAGAAACTAAAAATGTAATAATATACAGGGCGTTCCATTTAAAAAAATACAACTTTGATATTTTTTATTTATTTGGGACACTCTGTATCTTGTAAACATATTTTTAAATTGTAGCTCTAATAGTCCTTCAACGAACCCCAAACTTACAATTTGTAAAAATCTCATCGTTTAGCTACAATACTCCGTGTCGTATGTGGTGAACAACCATGTATAATCCAAAAGCATCTAAAATTTGATGAAAAACGATTTTTTTTCAATAAAAATGACACTAACATTACTCCAATTACCATATTTTACATATTTCCATTATTTTCTGTAATATTATTTGAAGAATAACATCATCAAGTCGAATAATACAAGTAAACTTTAAAAACATTTACCTACGATACTAATTTTTATTAATACTTACCTTATATTACTAAAAATCTCCTATAACATCTGTCTGTTCTAATACCATAACCATAACAAACCCCCGCATTGCTGTATTGGTCATTATTGAGCCACAGCACACCACAAAATTAGTGACAATTTCTTCAGTAATAAACAAATATACAGGCAAAAGCCGTGCTAAAATTACTCCGATTTTTTTCTTAATATCTTTACGGTAAAAACTGTACCCGAGTGATTGTTTTTATAATACAGTGTTCCTAGATGTCCGTTACGTCGATTAAAGGGGTAAGTTTTTCGAAATCTTCATTAATTTACGTTAATTTTGTCATTTTTTTGTCGAATTTATTAACCTAAAAGTGCGAAGCGTCAAAGTATTTTTGTTTCGCGTTGACAGCGCCAGCCAGGAATTCCATGGCAATCGCGATGGATTTCCTGCGCGCATCGACCGGCGTCGACCGAGAATTTCGAAGCTGTCTGGGACTGAATGCCGCTTGTATCGACGTTTTGAGCCAGAACTTTCGAATTTGTATCGATCGCCTCAAAAAATTATCGATGACCACTTATAATTTTAAAATCTAAACATTTTACGCAATCTTGACCTATATTTATTTTATCTTTTACATTATAGGAGGCTTGTCTCGTGTACTTAGATATGAAAAAGCGGTACATAAGCTACAGGGTGTGAGTTTTTTTGCAGGGTATGAGTTACCGAGGTAATAATAGTTTTAAACCTAATTTAATGAAATTTGGGTAAAATGTTATATTTATTTTATCTTTTATATTATAGGTGACTTGTTTAGATGTACTTAGACATAGAAAACCGGTATATAAGCTACAGGGTGAAGTCTTTTTACTGGTTATCGTGATGTACAGAGGTAATAATAATTTTAAGCCTAATTTAATGAAGTGGGGTTAAAATGTTATATTTATTTTATCTTTTATATTATAGGTGACTTGTTTAGGTGTACTTAGACATGGAAATCTGGTATATAAGCTACAGGGTGGAGTCTTTTTGCTGTATACAGAGGTAATAATAATTTTAAGCCTAATTTAATGAAGTTTGGCTAAAATGTTATGTTTATTTTATCTTTTATATTATAGGAGGCTTGTTTTGTGTACTTAGACATGAAAAAGCGGTGCATAAGCTACAGGGTGGAGTCTTTTCTTTTGGTTATCATAAGGTAATAATAATTTTAAGCCTAATTTAATGAAGTTTAGGTAAAATGTTATATTTATTTTATCTTTTATGTTATAGGAGGCTTGTTTTGTGTACTTAGCCATGAAAAAGCGGTACATAAGCTACAGGGTGGAGTCTTTTTGCTGGTTATCGTGCGGTACAGAGGTAATAATAATTTTAAGCCTAATTTAATGAAGCTTGGGTAAAATGTTATACTTATTTTATCTTTTATATTGTAGGAGGCCTGTTTTGTGTACTTAGACATGAAAAACCGGTATATAAGCTACAGGGTGGAGTCTTTTTGCTGTATACAGAGGTAATAATAATTTTAAGCCTAATTTAATGAAGTTTGGGTAAAATGTTATATTTATTTTATCTTTTATATTATAGGTGACTTGTTTAGGTATACTTAGACATGGAAAACCGGTGTATAAGCTACAGGGTGGAGCCTTTTTGCTGTATACAGAGGTAATAATAATTTTAAGCCTAATTTAATGTAGTTTGGGTAAAATGTTATATTTATTTTATCTTTTATATTATAGGTGACTTGCTTAGGTGTACTTAGACGTGGAAAACCGGTATATATGCTACAGGGTGGAGTCTTTTCTTCTGGTTATCATGAGGTAATAATAATTTTAAGCATAATTTAATGAAGTTTGGGTAAAATTAACAGAGTATTTTTGTTCTGGACGGTTTTATTTACCTCAAATATGAGATGAATTATTTTTTCTAACTGTTTTTTTCTCTTTTAGCTTAGTACATGTGTACTTGGAAATGAAAAGCTACAGGGTAGAGTCTTTTTTCTGGTTATCATGAGGTAATAATAATTTTAATCTTAATTTAATGAAATTTGTGTAAAATTAAAAGAATATTTGTTCTGGACAGTTTTATTTACTTCAAAAATGAGATGGATTATTTTTTCTAATTGTTTTTTTATTTTTTAGGTTAGTGCATGTTCAAATATGACATTAGTGGTTGAATTCTGCAATAGACATGATCAAAAATGGTAACAAGCTAACTTGGCAGTATTTATTTTGCTTAAGGATATTAAATAAGGTAGGAACATACAGTTTTATGTTGATTAATTATTTATTTTGTTGATTAACGCTAATTAATTAGCTATCAATCAGTTTTGTGCTTGTTTAGGTGTGCTTGGATATGAAAAAGCGGTACATAAGCTACAGGGTGGAGTCTTTTCTTCTGGTTATCGTGAGGTAATAATAATTTTATGCATAATTTAATGAATTTTGGGTAAAATTAAAAGAATATTTGTTCTGGACAGTTTTATTTACTTCAAAAATGAGATGGATTATTTTTTCTAATTGTTTTTTTATTTTTTAGGTTAGTGCATGTTCAAATATGACATTAGTGGTTGAATTCTGCAATAGACATGATCAAAAATGGTAACAAGCTAACTTGGCAGTATTTATTTTGCTTCAGAGATATTAAATAAGGTAGGAACATACAGTTTTATGTAGATTATTTATTTATTTCGTTAATTAACGGTAATTAGTTACCTACCAATCATTCTGTGCTCTTTTAATATTATATGTAGAGGGTCAGGCAATATTGCGTCGGGCATCTGTAGCTCCTAAAATAAAAAAAAACTTGTGAATTTTGTTTAAGTGCGAACCTAAAGTATGTACGAGTGTGTGTTTCAGGAAAATATTTTAACTTGTATAAGGTGGTTCAAAAAAGTGTCAGTGGATCGGGATTTTTTTTTTTTAAATGGAACACCCCATATTTTATTGCATTTTTGGCTTCCTTTCAGATTTACCTAATCCTAAGATATGAGTAAATATATTTCGATAATTGCACAGATATGAATAAATAAATAAAAATATGTATTTTTTAACCTTCCTTAAAAACATTGTTACAAATACAAGAACTGTCCTGAAATCAATACTATATTAGATATTTACTTTAGATAGTCTATACTTACTTTGCTATAAATATCGTAATCTTAAACCATACAGGGTGTTCGAAATTCTACGCCAAACTTTTCAAAAATATAAAATAATCTTTCTTTGCTTTTTTTAAATGGATCACGCTGTATATTTTTTGTTAAAAAAATGAACATATTTTGTAGAGAAAAATCAATGGGTGGCTTTCTGCGAAAACGTTAAAAATTTTGAAATACTCTTAATCCAAAAAAATGTTCATATACAGGGTGTTCCATTTAAAAACAAACGAAGAAAAATGATTTTATCTTTTAGAAAGTTTGGCGTCGAATTTTGGACATCCTGTATGATTTACGATTACCATATTTTATCAAAGTAAGTATAGATATCTAAAGTCTCGGTATATTTTTAATGTTTTACTTTATTTGATAGAAAATGACACTCTGCATGGAATGACATATCATATGTCAACTTTTGATATTACCTCGGATATTACCGTTTCATCTAATAAGCACAACCTTTCAAAGCAAACTTTTTAATTCTAGAATAAAATATTTTTTTTTATCAAGTACTTTTGGATTGTAAATATTTTAAATTGTTTTTGTAAAGTTTATAACACGCATATTTACATGGGAGTAGATTTAATATTGTCTGGAAATTTAATATGCACGAATTCGCCGATTTTTTGCCATTGATTTTTGCTCTGTATTTGCGAAAATAAATTATTTACGCGTTGAGTGCTCTTATACGAAAAATGTTATTGAAAATGTATAGAAATATTCAATTTACTAAAGGAAATAAATATAGGAAATATTTATTTATGCTGGGTTATCCAAGGTACTTTCTATCAAACGGTATTGAAAGAAAAAGTTGGGTAATTGATTAACCACGATTCTGCTTAAACTACTTGACATAAAAAGCTTATTTTTGGCGAACGCATTTTTTGAGAGTCAAATTCGAACGAGATCAAACTACCCCTCAAATATTACCAAGTTATATAATAATATCGCCATATTGCTTTTTCTCATGCTGATATAAATGTGAGAAAATTTTATCCAGTTCGTATGTTAATGGAAATTCTTGCTTTGCTTTATCATCACCATTATAAACGATTAATTTGACGCGAACGAAGTCACGGGTAAACGCATTTAATAAAGAACTCTAAAAAATCAGTTTTAAATCGATACTACAAAAATTAATAAAACATTTATTGAATACCGTAATTATGTGTTCTATTCTTTCACTCCATTTTATTTCTGCGAAACTCTACAAAATAGCATCCGATACGGACGCACAATCGACAAATATTTCGAACATTTTTAATTAAACCAATTCTATTGTTAATTTTCAAAAGTCACTTTTTCAGTTGTTGCGCAATAGTGCCGTTATCCCCGCACATTTTAGAGCCCTTTTTTAATACCCTTCGATATGATCATCCAGGAAAGCTGAAATTGGGTGCAATTTTGCAAAATTGAAACACGTTTACCTCGAAAAAGCTACACGCACGGGCTAAAAAACGAATGAAAAAATCGAGGTTATGACATTACGTTTATCCAATTTTGCTATCGAACAATATAAAAGGCAAAAATCCGGGATTCTCTTTGATTAAATCGGAAATTAGAGGGAAAGATGAGCTTAAAGTGGCATAATTAAACGAATTCAGAGAATTTGACAGAAACTGAAAAATTGACATTACACTGTACTGTTCGGATCGCTCTCAGGGGTCGGGTAAAGCGGGTATGTGGCCGAAGGAAATACCGTATGATCGAATAAAAACGGCGTCAACGATGGCTATGAAATGAAGATCGCTGTCATTTTATATGTAAAATTATATGGGAAATGTCATCGATCGTCATTTCCAAGCCAACTGGACGCCGTTTTTTTCGATCATACGGTATATAGTACAATATGGCCGACTTAGTTACGAAAATTGGTAATTTAATGAAAAATAAGCTGGCGTTAGCGAATTCAGAAAGTGATTTACTCTTTGGTTAACAATAACATTTTTCAGGATTGTCAAGTTGACGTTAAAGTTAGGTTATTAGGTGGTTGTCATAAATCATAAGTAAATATATAGATTATTGAAATTATTTAATAAGAATAAAGGTATTTTACCGCAGATTCGAAGAGATTTTACCTAAAGGTATTTTATAAACTTTCTCAGTCAGAATATTAACTCCCCTGTTTCTTATATTTCAGTTAAAGGGACGTAATAACTATAGGAAGTAAATTTTTGTTTTCATGTTTTGACGATATCTGAGAGTTCCTAGAATTATCAAGATTATTGAATAAAAATAGTTGTTTAATAAGTGAAATTAATAGAAAACTTGGAAATAGGATGATGCGTTTCATGTTATAGTTGATAGATCACCCCATTTCTCTTAATTTGTTTTTATTTCAGTACAGTTAATCACAAATTGAATTGATGTGTACAAAAACAGTTATATATTTTCAAACATCTTATTTAAATAGTTCTTTTATATACTGTTAAACTGTATCAATTACAAAATATTTAGCAAAAAGTTATAAGGTAATAAATTTTGTAGATATAATTTATGAAAATTTATATAAAAAGATTAGAACACAATCCTCTGAGGGAAAAAGAAGTACCCAAAAACTCATTAAATATACTTTATTAAAAATAACAACATACCAAAACAGTCATCCATGCAAACTGTAATAATCAGAACATTATCCACATTATACCTTTATTAAATTTGTTTTCACACTCCTGTCAGGAAAGCCAGAAATGTTTGTTTAAATATTAACTTATTTTAAATTGCCAGAAACACATCAGAATATGTCACAACCACCACTATAGGTCTGGAATCAGCACTAAATTTTATACCTAGTGATGCGTCAACTAACAAGCATAGGATAAAAAAGAATTATTAATATAGAGTGTACTATGCGATGTCCTTCTGCTTATTTATGAAATTAACTAACTCTTTCCTTTCAAATGTTAAGAATACCAGTAAAATAAAACATAATTTTTGGTTTGGTTTGGTGTTTGATATTCTAACTACATCTATTACAAACCTTAAGTGCTTTTAGTGAGTAACTGTATTTTTTATTATTGTTTGTGTATCCTGTAAAGAAAAAAAATATATATTTCAAGGAATATAAAAACAATGCGATAGATATCAAACAGATTCATAAAAACTACTTAAATTGTACATATTATATATTTCAAGGGTTATTTGATCTTTGGTCCCATTACCAACATTACCTTATTTAGGTCTTCTCTACCAACTCAACTTTTAAACCTGTTTTAAACCTTCTTCATATTTTAAAAATAATTTACAACAATCTGTGATGCCCGTGCTGTTTCCTGAAATTAATATAAGTTTTAGTCTATTTATTATCATATACATATTACAAACCTGAAAATTACTGATACGAGGAGACTTCTCAAAATAATTGAGACCTTTTTACAAACATCTGGACTCATTTTTTTCACGAATTTGTGGGCGAGTCAATGTTTTCTAATACGTTTTTAAGGGCTTTACACATTTTTTGAATATCTTCCAGCCTATTCCGCAGTTCTTGATCGGTGAAAAGCTTATTTATAAGTATATAATTAGTACTGCAGGCTGCAGGTTAAATAAAAGAACAAAATCAAGTAGAATTTGTGAATAAAAACTCAGAAAATAATGAAAATATTTGGAAAAAGGAACCGTACACGTCAGTCAAGTGTCAGACTTCAATTAGATTTACCATAGGTTATATCAATTTGAACGATTTGAACTACAGTCGATTCCAGTCTAGAGATTTTCGTTTTTAAGCCTCCCATACGTCTGCCATATTGGGAAGTTTACGTGGAAACAAGTATACAGGGTGTTTCAAAACAAATGCGAAAAACTTCAGGGGGTGATTCCTTGTTCAAAATAAAGGGTAGTTTGCTTCATAAACGTTGGGTCAAAAGTCAACCATTAGGGAGATATCGCGGTACAAAGATGGCGGAAAAATAATGTTCTTATTTTTTATCTTGAAAAAGAAAAGAGATAGACTAATGAAATTTTATGGAAGCATTACTGTTATGAAAACACACTTTCTGGTAATTTTTCACTTTTTAAAATGAGTGGAAGGGGTTGAAATAAACTACCCCTATCATTCTTGTTAACGAAATTTGAAGAAAAATCTTATCAAACACATGCAAAAAAATTAATTTGGATAGTTTAGTTTGTTTAGAAACTTTTTTATCTCTTGTATTTTTTTTATAAAACTCACCGATTTGAAATTAAAAAATAAAATGTAAAGCATTACATGTCAGGACTAAAAATATTTTTAGATTACGAATCTAGTGATAATAATGATAATAATAATAATCTAGATATTAACGTATTGCAGTAGGGTAATGTCAAATAAAACAATATTAGAAACATCTTAAAAAGTGACAGCGGCCGACTAGATTTTTTCCTAAAAAAATTACAGCTGCCCACTAGATTCTTTATCTAAAAATGTTCTTTGTTCTGACATGTAATGCTTTACATTTTATTTTTTAATTTCAAATCGGTGAGTTTTA